TTCATGCCGGTCCATTGCGGCTTCCCCAACCATCTGACCATCGGTGACTGGACGAAAGGGCTGTGGTTCGTCATATGATATGTCGTCTTATTGGCTTCAATAGTTTATTTTCTACAAGACGAATTTGCTTTGAATTCTGTTAATAATGGCGATATATTATATATGCATTAGGACACAGAAAATTTTTAACAGCAATACGTGATCTACTAATTTGCTCATTAGTTGCTTCCACAGTTCTCTGATTCCAAGATGTCATGAAAACAAGGGCGTCTAGCGCAATGGCAAATGCTTTTGATCGCGTCATGCTTATTTAGTAATAATTTAAAACAGTCGTGGTGTGTGCCGGCCATCACACGACCAAAATTGTCTCCCATCGACATTTTTTTCGCTCAAAACTCTCGAATCCTACGGGAAAACCTTTTCTTCTTCGGTAAATCAGAATTTTTTTTTCATAGTGCCGTTTTTAGATGGCACTTTATTTCAGTTTATTGCGCATTGTCAATATGGAGCCTCAGACTGTCTCGTAAAGGAGGGGTTTGCATTCACTGTTATAATTGATGTCTTCCAATGTCGGGATGTTCTCAGAATCGGAATACTGGATATGTAGTGTATAAAAATCAAGAATTTATTAATGCCATTTACTTGGCTGCGTTTTGCATTTGTATGTTTGTATTGATTCGTATCATATTCTAATGACAATGAATTTATCACTGTAAAACAAAATTCTTTTAACTAGTTGTCTGACATTGACTTTCAACATTTTCGAAAATCTTATCTCATCTAAACATAAATGAAAGCTGGTATTGTTGCGGTGATTTTTTCGTGTCAGATTGTTGTTCTAAAGTTTTTTTATTTTTTTTTGTCATATTTTGTAATGACCAATTTAACAAATTAGAAATCAGAGAATTATAATTACCGGTAATATGTATTCGACTTAAAATTGAGTACGCTGATTCATAATAAGAATCAACAGTTAAACGGAACAACCTTTGAACCTCTGAACTCCCAGAATATTGTTAAGTTTTTGACAAGCTCTCAAGATTTGGTAGTTTGTTCATGTTATCAAGCATATAGATAAAAGTGCTAGATAAAAAGTTATTTCCGAAAGATATTTCCTGTTGTTTTTTGCAAATTAGCTGCAAAGCGATTTAAATAATTTGTGGCTCTATTCAGTTGGTCAAACCCAGTTATAATCTTAGTTTTTTAACAAGTAGAGCGCAGTTTTGGGTACTTAAAAGTCAAAACAAAAGGCACCTAACTCATTAAATTGGCCCGAGCACTTTCACACTTTCTTTAACTTGCATGGGACCTTCGCACTCATAATTTCCTTAGAGTGAACACTGATGGGAGTTCTGTATTATAGTATTCTATAACTCTGCCTTACATTTGAATTTTAGTATGTAAAGTTTCATATTGATTAATAATTATGATTGGACTCTAAATTGAAAGATTGATAGACAACTATCTATTTGAAAAGATCTTTTTGGCATACCTTTGATAATGTCAATTTTTAAAATCCAATATTTGTAGTAAAATTTATAAATGAATATCATTTAAGAAAATATGTTACAAAATTTCTGGGGTATTGTCTGTCTGGTCAACTGCGTACATTGAATATTTTTATACATTGAATTATGATGTCATCAAGTTGATTGATTGATTTGTATCAGACAAAATTACTATTAATGCTTTCATAAGAAAAATATAGCTTATGTACTTGTATTGAATCAATTGGAATTGGAAGCCTTATGAAGTTGTTTTAATGTTTAATTACCGTATTTTTGCCAATGAAACTGAATGCAAAACCATGATATATCACTGGTCGATGTTGTTTGTATTACATCAAAGTCATATCATTTAAATAAATAACACTTGTAATTAGAATTAAAGTAATATCTGAAGTTGCCTCTAATTACGGGGATTGGTGATTACTTTCCCGAGTGGGTCAATCACAGATAATAGGTTGGGTGGGTTACTGGGCCTGGGGCTCAACTATGTATAAAATAACGATTTATTTACAAAAAAACAAGTGTAACAGCTAGTGTTCCAATGGCACAATGATTAATAGGACTGACGTAGCTTACTGCATGCGTCCAAACTCCAAATGCTTGTTAAATCGGGCTTGAAGCTGCTTGGGCTAATTCCTTAGGCTGCTTGTAGGTTTAAATCTGCTTTTAGTTTTGTCAAGAATTCATATTTCGGAATACTAATTCAGATGAGTGAGTATGAGGTATCTCGTTTTATACATCATATTCAAAGTGTAGAGAACTACAATATTTATTTTAGCTGGCGATTTGTTATTTTCATCGATTATAGTAACAGAAATTTTATGTCCATAAAAACTATAGTGGTAATTTCAGCAGGCACCAGATCAACCCCACCCTTTGCCCACCCCTGCTCTAATATTTATGATTTGAATTTTATCCCAGTAAAATTCATAAGACTCCATTGGGTATATCCTGAATCATTATTGTATTTATTTGCGCCGTCTTCAATCTTTCATATTACGCAACCCATTGATTGATTTGCTTTCAAACTATCTGACCATCTGTTCTAATCTGAGTTAAAAAATGTTAATCTCTTGCTTTATTCATGTTTATGTTATCTTTTTCTGCTAATTACCTATTTTATTACATCTATCTTTGCATATTGGTGAGAGAATTCGCTGCTTCTGAAAGTTGGGAAATGCTGTGGTACCCAGTGTCATTTATATATTCTCATCTCTCATATATCGAAACTAAGGTACTATTCTGTTAATAGTTTAATAATTATTATTCCAAGATACTGTTTTACACCGTGTTTAGTTTTTGGATTTCAGAATTTAGGGTCTTACTACTTACTGAATACAGTGCGAAACACCGCAAAGAGCGCAAAAGAGCGCGAAACAGCGCAAAACAGAGGAAAACATCGCAAAACAGGAGACGCAGTCATTACCACCTCCTGCCACAAAAGAACCACGGCGCCTCTCGCCATGGTTTTATGGCGCTATTTCCGGTATATTTACAAGGTTATGTACCGGATTATAGGTAGTCATGCGAAATTTTATTTTCCTTTTGGTGCTCCAGAAGAATTGTGCAGCAATATGTCGCACAACCTGAATCCGCTACACACACACACACACACTATTTTCAGGTTGTGCGCCATCTTGGTGCACATACTTCTGGAGGTCCCTTTTTACCTAACCCTAACCCTAAAGCCAACCATATCCATATGGAAAATGTTCTAAATTATGGTACCCAAAATGTGTCACCAGCAGGGGCACCCCTGCCATTACAGCATTACTGGCTACATACGTTGGTTTGTGTTTTTAATTTGCTGCCGTGGTACTCCAACTCAAAACAAGGTGCCCCGAACTCATTGCAAAATTTTTTTCTGCTTCACACTGTTTCCCTCTGTTTTGCGCTCTCTCGCGCTGTTTCCCCACTGTTTTGCGCTGCCTGTTTCCCTCTGTTTTGCGCTCTTTGCGGTGTTTCGCGCTGTATTCAGCAAGTAGTAAGACCGCAGAATTCATCCTTCATGTGGCTAAAGCAATAATGAGGGTACTCAAGTAGTGTGAGTACCACAGGACCAGGTCAGGATTAGGCTCTAATTTTATTCCGATTATCCTTGTTTTAGTTCTATTACGAGTTCAAGTGAATATACCCCCTGCCTATAGGCTTCCGCCCCTTTACACAATTTGATATAAAGTAGGCAAAAAATTAGTAACCGTCATATTGGTACACATACTGCTGGAGCGCCTTAATAAGTGGCAAAATTTTTATATACCAGTGATTGTTGCTCCCTAAAACTCGTAAAACATACCTGAAGCCTGATTTTGTTATGGTAATGCCAAATTTATTTATAATAATCACCAATATATTTTGTTTGTCTGTTAGTTTTCGATAGTGACTTTTTCCAATTTTATTCTTCTTTCTATCAATTAACTAATTTTATTACATGTAAGTAATTCAGTGTTTTCTCGCGTATCTTCAATTGTAAGGATGTTTCTTTGTATTTGAATTAGCACGTATGTGATAGAATAATGTTGAGTGAGATAATTGAAATAACAAGCTGTGACAGTTCAACAAGAGTAGGAATAGGAAAAGCACAGAGATTTTTGACAAAAAATTTAGAATATACCTTATGTATGAGTAAGTTTTCCCAATGTTAGGTCTTTAACTAAAAGAGAAAGAGTACTGATAGAAGAGTTGCAAGCCCTCATTGATGTAGTCAGGCCTCAATTCACTAGAAGTCCCTTCCACAATACTATTTTCCAGACAGTGTTGACTTGAACTTCTATAAATTATTTAAAGAAAATATGGTACTAAGGGTACGGTGTATTGAACTGAAGGTCCTTTTTCCTTGTCTACTCCGGATTCGTATGTGTCCGTTGCCACAAAGATGCTTGAATGAGATAGTATTATAAACATAAATAAGAATATCATGAAATATTTTTACAAAATAGCAAGTATATTTTTATCTTTTGTTAGATTATAGTCTTTCTTAAGACAAAACAAAATATACCAATCGAACTCTGAAATCTGCTATGAACATGATCTAATGAAAGCTTAAAAATATACTTGTCAAGAGAGGTTTCGGAAAAAAACTCGTTAAAAATTGAGTAACACACATTTATTTTGGTACTCCCGTAGTCTGTGAACCAAGATGGCGAACACCGGAACGTAGTATGTGTGCCAGGTTAGGGTTAGGCCATAATTTTAGGTACAAATACTACGGGAGTCACTTGGCTAGTTCCCGAACTCGTAATAGAACTAACCTGGTACACATATTAATTTCCCATGTCTGCCATCTTGGTTCACGTACTACGGAGTACCTTTATTTCGTTTTCAAATAATTCTAAATTAATTTAAATCGTACAGGAAAAAAGAATAATATTGATAACCGAGTTCTTAGTTTGGTCTAACTGATTTATATTTTACCTGAATAACAGAATAATTTTTCAAGATGCTTGTTAAACTTGAGTAGTATTTGCATTACTATCATATTTTGTATTACTTCTTTTTGCAGCTGTTAACTACTTAGCATTCTCTGCAGTTTTCAGACTTTATTCTGGCTGATACGCATCATTGATTTTTTCAACTTCGAAAAGTTTGGATGATTTGAAATATCCTGCTGAAAGTTTGAATTCAAAATTTCCTGGTGAATCTTGCTTGGTGACATAGCAAAGCACTTGTTAGTTTTCCAGAAGTCTAATAACTCTAACTCTGTTGGCTGATATTTTTACAAATTACGCCACAAGATGGCGATAAATATGCCCAGCAGCACCAAGATTTTGGGTGCCGAACTTGCGAAGATGCATGAGCAACCTGTCGAAGGATTCGCAATTCGATTAGTCGACTCGAATTTATACGACTGGCATGTAGCGCTCTTCGGACCTCCAAATACACTTTATCAGGGCGGTTATTTCAAGGTAAATAAATAAATTAAAGTAATAAAGGTTTAAGAATTACTGAAACTCATTTTTTAGTCTATGAATAGCACTGGTATGGATCACTTCTTTATAGAAAACTCAAATTGGGATTTGAATATTCACGGTGTCTGATATATATTCAACAAACTGCGAATTATCAGTCTGGGTCGATTATTCAAACAATACACTGGTAACTAAGTCCATTCAAATCATTTCTCACTGCATTCGGCACGTGTTCACTAAATGCCGTAAATACTTCTGGTTAGCGTGGCACAGATATTTTTGCATATAGTATTCCTAACCCCCACCTGACAATGTCATCCAAAAATTACGTCACAATGACGTTATAGAGCTTGCCAAAGAAAAGCTACTATCGTCTGTAATAGCATCTCCGTTGACAATAACGAACTCGCTAACACCAGCGATCTGCGAGTTTCAGATGACAATCCGTATACTTTGACAGGCCTTTTTTTCGTCACTGTGACGTTGTAGTGACGTAAATTTCGGATGACATAGTCAGGTGGGGAGTAGAAATGACATATGCGAAAATGGTTATGCCACGCCAACCAGAAGTATCGACGGCGTTTAGTGAACTAGGCCCCTGCATTCAAGCCTGCGAACCTACTCACATTTAATAAGCATGTCCATGAAGTTTAATAACACAATTAACTAATGATATACATATCATTTCTATGCAATGAAGGTAACGTTCAGATTATGTTTTGCTTATGAAACTTCCATTTGAATGAGTATATATTGTGATTGTTCTTATGAAACCTAATGACATTATCAGTTTCGTGTATAGAATTTCAGTATGAAATACCCCAAGGCGTAAATGTCATTACTCTTGTTTCGTGTCGTATACATATCAGTTCATTGTCTGCATCGAAAAATGAGCTTCGTAGATATGCTTCTCTAAAAGAAATAATTGGAAATGATTCACACCCCACTCATCAATATAGCCCTTGTAATAAATCATCATTCAGTCACATAGGAAATGAATATATTATCAGTACTATCAACCATGATATTTTATAAAAAATATAAATAATTCCATTTGAGTGACAGTCAAAGTAATGTGTGAATGTGATAAAAACTGACAGGTGGGAAAATTCACAATATGTAAAATCCTTTGTCTCACAATGCAGAATTTTTTTTTTTAAATTACTAATATGATTCACTCTATTGAAATTAAATAATTGCCTTTTTGTGGTTTTAGCCTGTGTATCACTCAGTAATTAATATTATTAAACTAAGTTAATTCAAATCCATTAATATGAGTGGTAAAATTCATCAGATTTGGCATATAAAATCACAAGTTAAAAATAATTTATGGTTAAGCAATAGCCAATACACAAACCACAGAATATGATCAGTGTGTGTTACTGATTGTATTAACGTAATATCGGAATTGGAAATTGTTGTTATTCTGAGCTTTTGTGGAATGAATTTGGTGAACATATCATAGTGTTTTCAAAATTTATTTATTGGATATGAAATAGGTAGATTGTGTTATTGTTGTTAGAATTATTTTTTTATTATGGAAAAATCACTTTTTTTTTTAATTACTATACCAATTGCTTTGAAATTTTCAGTGGTTAAAGATTGTTTTTGTCGTTAGAAGGGTATAAACCATTCGTTTCAAAAATTTCTGTGAGCTCTAAGGGATTCGTTTTTTTTTGTGTGTGATTATGTCATCAAAATTAAAAATTACGCACCATGCATTGTGTGTGGTGATGTCAACAAAACAAGTCCTTTTCACGATCTTAGCTATCTGGTGGTAAGTTGAAGTCATGAAGACTGTGGCACTGTACCGGTAGTCTACTATAAAAGATTAGATACTCTTACTACTTCATTTTGGCCTTCGTATCCATATATTTGAGCACCACTCTATTGTTTTTAAAAATCTTCAATATGAACCAAATCTATTATTGATACGAAGCATTTTAAACACCAGGTAAAAATTCACATTCCTTTTGTTTCAATTTTGTTTTGCAACTCACTTGAATAGTGTTGAGAGTAGAGCAAGTATATTTTACTTTCAATGGCCAAAGCCTTCTCTCCTTCGAATTTTAAATCTGTGAAGTTTTAATGACTGAGAAATTACCGTATGTTTCATTTTTCCTTACTTATTTGTAAACAAGTTGATTACCCTGTTGTTCTTTAGTTGGACCAAAAATGATTTTTGCTGAAACCGATGACTCATCAGTTTAGGTGATAAACTATAAATTGTGTGCAATATAAATTTATTTGACTGGTTGACTGCACGGTGTCTGAACATATTGTTTATTTTCCAAGTATTATGACGTCATAGTTCTTCCTATTTGTGTAGATTGGTACCTCTGACATAGAGAAGAGAAACTGAATGATAAAGTCATGTCTTGCCAACAAATTGACGATTTGACTGGAGGCTATTTTATTAGGAAAATAGCAAATAAACCTAAAATTTACAGTATATCATACTTAAATTTTTTTTTTCAGATTGTATGGTCTCTCAATAGCGACTTTCAAATCAAAACTAATTAAGATATTTTGAAACATGGCTATTATATTTCTAAAAGCAAACTATATGCTTGCTACTATTATGCAGTTAGATTTGCGTTTGAATGGGAAAATGAACAAAGACTTTTCTATAATTTGTTATACATTGTACCTTTAGATTAAACGATTGTTGAAATCATAATAATTGTTTGTCAACTTATCACGATAGATCCAGTGTAAATCACAAACTAGTAGTTTTCAAGTTAGAACACTCTTTAAAACAAAATCACCATAAGCTCATTTCACAGGAAGAAAGCAGATTTGTGTCGCTGTCGCTATTGAGTCGGAGCGAAGGATACACGCCGCTAGATCGATAAGTCGGCGGTCTCGGATCGCTATCTCGTTGACATATTGTCAGTATAATACTACCATATTGTCGCAGTGAATCAATCAGAGACTATGTTGTTTTCAAGGAATATCTCAAAATGGTATCCCTAATAAAGTGAGGTTTGTTTATTCGCAACCAGAGAAGTCCTATGTTCTCAAAATATATCGTTCACAGTAAGAATTTTAGATCTAAATATGCCAGATAACATATATACCCAGTCCTAAATGCCTCTTTATTATTTTTTTTATTTTTCCCAAAGTTTCTCAAACTTCACCCATATTTGCATAAGGTTTCAAAATCAAGTATCGGATGAATACTTGGGAGAATAGGGAGTTTCCTACCACAGTGTTGACGCAAGTACAACAGTTTTTATGCTAATAAATTATAGTTATGCTCTGAATTCTGATATACTATATCAAAGATAAATTAAACACCTAACTAAGCTTGGGTATTGCTACATTGAGGCCAGACTCATAACAGCGTTATAAACCTAATATTAAAATAATATTACATTAATGAAATATTAATGAAAGCACCATAAAAAAATCATTCAATATTTCTCATCTAACTCAATGGACATATTGGTTGGCATCAAGCAGCTGCTTGTTCCCTGGTTTATATCAGCATGAGAAACTGTCAATTGAAACAGTGAATTTTCTCTTTCGGAGTTTCTAGATAATTATTTAGGAGCTATGATCCGAACAGACTATGGTTTGGAACATTTTATATTTAAATATGACAGGTTGTAGTGAAAGTTAGGCACATCCATTTTGTGTACTACTGTGACCAAATGGTTAAAGACATAAAAGGATGAACAGTGGGTCATGGGGTCAAATCACAGCTGGGTAAAAACTGCCATTCTCATAGTAATACAGTGATACCTTGGTAGTCGAACGACTCGATACTCGAACAAGTCTGTAATTGACTAAAAAATTCTAGTTAAAAATGATGCGTTACTCGAACAGAATTTCGTTGCTCGAACACCTGAATACGCCGCCAAGTGAGATGGCGTCACTCAGACTGCGCAACTCGGCTGCCTCTTGACCATTTAACAAGAGAGCGTTGTGTTACTATTCTGCTTTATTCATTTCAAGCACTGCATTCTTTCACTTTCGTTTTGCTTCATTTATTATGTTCGCTCAGGCGTGAATAATTTTCTATTGTGTTTGGTCTTCTGTTTTTACTGTTTGGGCAGCGTGCTCATTATTAGTTTGTGGTTTTGTTAATCTGTATTAATCGATGTATTGACTTTGAACTGAGTTGTATTGTCATCTTTACACGTTGCTCAAATATATGGACACAAAGGCCAAGATGAATAAGAACGAAATAAAATAATTACCATTGTTTCCTTTGACAAAAATAGTTTCGTTACTCAAACAAACCGGTAGTCGAACACCAATCCTGAACAAATTATGTTCGACTACCGAGGTATCGCTGTTCATAAAATTTATTGATTTCTTTGATCGAAAGAATTATAATTTTGTCATGTGTCTAAAATAAATCACAGAGTATTAGTTTTTTTTAAGAGCGATTAACAATACTAGATAGCGATCAGAGTCCGTCAACTTATCAATCTTCTTCATGTTCCCTTCGCTCTGACTCAATAGCGACACCACGTGTCCCACCACTAAAAATTTAATAACTCGCTAATTATATGACATAAATCCAAAATCAATAGGCTTCTGGTCCAAGATATGATGAATGCACATGCAAAATTTGGAGCAGATTCAACCTAGCTTTCCCGAGATATCGCGAAACATACGAAAGTGTGTAACAGACAAACAAACAGACAAATACCTATCAACATACTTAGCGATCGAGATCGATAAGTCCTAAAGTACTTGAACTAGAATACGATAATTATTGTATTATTTATTATTAATAAACGATCTGTCTTTTTCAGGCTCATATGAAGTTTCCCATGGATTATCCATATTCTCCGCCTTCATTTAGATTTTTATCCAAGATGTGGCATCCAAATATATATGAGGTTTGTTTGTGTTTTATTTTAAAAATCATGAATATATGTGTTGATATTATCATATTATAGAATAAGTCTCTGCACAGTCTGTAGTTTGTTGGCTATGGTTGATTCTGTCCTATTTCAATTCAGCCACTCAAATATGGAATAAAAAAATGTCAGAACTTGAACGATTTTTTTTTTACTGTATTTTTGTGTCAAATTCTGATTTGTTCCATTGCTTTTTCGACTCGCTCTTTAGCACTCCTCTTGAAAGTGGTGGTGTCAGTATCGCTATTTAGATTATTTCAAATTGCCCGATTCTATCTAATGCATGAGGGGTACCAAATCTTTATAATTTTTAGGTAATTACACATGTGGTTTATATGATTAATAAATCACATATACATTTATGAAATTCCTAATGAAAAAAAAGTTTTTTTTTTTTAAATTTGGTCTCAGTTAAACTTGATTATAATCTCTTCATGTTGAAATTAATATTCTTAGAAAGGAAACAAATATTGTTAACAACATGAATTTTAATAAATTCTTCATCAATGTTTGTCAAAAATATGACTAATGAAATTCTTGAATGCAAATACTGATATTTATTAAACAATTTATCTTTGATCAAAAAACAATTTTTGTCTGCTTAAAATCTACAGTTTCGGTTTAAACGAAACTAGCAGATTTGATTTTGGATCCGATCAAATAAGACTTATTTTCAGAATGGTGAAGTCTGCATCTCTATATTACATCCACCAGTTGATGATCCACAGAGTGGTGAACTCCCGTCGGAAAGATGGAATCCAACACAGAATGTCAGGTAGGGGATCTAATGTAGTATATTTTGTGGTTTGTGATTTGATAGGCCTATGGAATGAGTATCAAGCCATTTGTACAAATTTACAAATACCAAAAAATGTTTCGTGAGATTTTAAAAGATGTGTAAATTTTCTGCATTTAGTTTTACATATAAAACAGTGTATTTTTCAAAAAATGTGTGAATTTTCTGCATCCAGCTTCACATAGAAAATTGTGCATTTTTTAAAAGATGTGTGGATTCTCTGCATCCGGCTTCACATAGAAAATTGTGTATCATTTTAAGATGTGTGAATTCCCTACATCCGGCTCCCCTTAGTGTATTATTTAAAAGATGTGTGAATTCTCTGCATCCGGCTATTCATATAAAATTTGTGTGAGATTTTAAAAAATGTGTATATTTCCTGCATCTGGTTTCACATATAAAATTGTGTATTTTTCAAAAAATGTGTGAATTTCCTGCATCCAGCTTCACACAGAAAATTGTGCATTTTTTAAAAGATGTGTGGATTCTCTGCATCCGGCTTCACATAGAAAATTGTGTATCATTTTAGGATGTGTGAATTCCCTGCCTCTGGCTCCACATATGTAGTAGTGTATTATTTAAAAGATGTGTGAATTCTCTGCATCCGGCTACTTATATAAAATTTGTGTGAGATTTTAAAAGATGTGTAAATTTCCTGCATCTAGTTTCACATATAAAATTGTGTATTTTTTAAAAGATGTGTGAATTCCCTGCATCTGGCTTCACATATAAAATTGTGTATTTTTAAAAGATGTGTGAATTTCCTGCATCTGGCTTCACATATAAAATTGTGTATTTTTAAAAGATGTGTGAATTCTCTTCATACGGCTTCACATATAAAATTGTGTATTTTTTAAAAGGTGTGTGAATTCTCTGCAAATGACTTCACATATAAAATAGTGTATTTTTTAAAAGATGTGTGAATTCTCTGCATCCGGCTTAACATATAAAATTGTGTATTTTTTAAAGATGTGTGAATTTCCTCCATCCGGCTTCACATATAAAATTGTGTATTTTTAATTAATAGAGGTGTGCATTTCCTCCATCTGGCTTAACATAAAATTGTGTATTTTTAAAAGATGTGTGAATTCTCTTCATCCTCCTTCACATATAAAATTGCTTATTTTTATAAAGCTGTGTGAATTTTCTGCATCCGGCTTCACTTATAAAATTGTTTATTTTAAAATATGTGTGAATTCTCGGCATCTGGCTCCACATGTAATATTTGCTTTTCCAAATGCGTTCTGAATATTTTGTATCAGTTCATTGTAATCAACCAGGGAAATTTGCAGAAATCGCAGAAATCATTTTGTATTCATAAAACTTATTAATTAATGCCATTATTATACATCATGTCTATTCTGTTATGATAGCAAATTTTGAATCTGTTTTGGACTTTCTATAAATAGATTTCACTTTGATATCCTCGATCAATAATTTTTTTGCTATATATGATTCGGGAAACACGTAGTCGGATTATCCAACTACGATTCAGTGCACTGGTATAGCTTAATTATGGTATCGCTTGAAAGTTTTGCCCTCTTGAGACTTCAAGTGTACTTGTCTCTGAACTGCTGACAGCACTGCTGGCTACTTCTTCATATTAGAAGCTATTCACATTCACATTAAATGTGTAAATGAAACAGATCTAGAACGTTAGTACTTTGTTTTTCATTGTTTATTCCACCTTACAAAAAAATACTAAAATAAATTATGCAGTCGACTCATTTAAAATTCATCATCATCAGTATATTAATGAAAAGATATAGCATATCCTTAGATTAAGGTCTACTAAATCTGTCTGGAATAGCAAAATAGGAATTTTATACCTCCAAAGTCTCTGAATTAAGTTGCGGTAATTGTAGCATGTGTGACCTGTGAGGATTCCACAAACAACTTATTATTTTGAGTATTTAAGGGAAATTTACCTTGAAAAAGATCTGTAAGACATTCAAATTATTTAACTTATATGGGACCATTCACAATTCAATTTCTTTCTTTCTAAAGGACCATTCTTTTGAGTGTCATCTCACTACTAAATGAACCAAACACATTTTCACCTGCAAACGTTGATGCATCCGTTCAATATAGAAAATGGAAAGACTCGAAGGGAAAAGAAAAAGAATATGAAGCCATAGTAAGGTACGGTATGTCATTTGTTTGAGACTGGAAAAGCCTGTGGACAATCCTTCCAGGAAAAAGCCAAATATTACTGATCTTTTCTATATGACGCTTATTCTAAATGTATGCTTCGAACAAGGTCCTATGCAGCAGTCATTGATATTTACTGTATATCCTCGCATATAAGCAGAGTTTAAAATTAGAAAAAAATTTGAAAAAGTTTGCTAATTGAGGGGTCGACTCATGCGCACATGACCATGATCTCACAAAAATTCAGCTTTTACGCACATACCGCAGATCACACTTGAACAAAACGACATTTTATAAATTGACACCGCAAACTTAAAATGACCGATATTATCATTAACAGCGCCAGGCTAACAATAAAATCCACGATAGATACTAATAGATAATATTTAAGAGCTAATTCATACGCCGTGAATTGCAAGAAATGCAAAAATTTCCCGCTATGCTGGATGACAATCGAAACTGAGGATGAAAACAATTAATTACCACACAATTTGCTTTTAGATTCATTGCCATGGTCGTGCAAGATATCTCAACTATGTTCAAATATTCGATAATAATTGTAAAATATTTTCAATCAGAAACATCCCGGACATGTTATGAGTATTTGAAGTCGACGATGATTTAAATCCTTTCATATCCCTAGTAATTAATTGTTGCGTCGTAATGGGCCGTCTTCGATTATGATAAAATATATCAATTGTAAAATGTTTTCAATCAGAACATGGTCGGCGGCGCTTGGATATGTACACGATGTTCTTATAAACACTAAAAGCGATATTCTAAGGTAGCTGTGAAAGGTGCGTATATGGCGTGTTACGATTTGTAGGGTCGGCGTATATGCGAATTTTTATAAATTCACCGTTTAAACGCCCAATTTATCACATTCTTTGTGAGGTGGGGCTGGGGCATGGGATTTTTTGGCTTCAACCCCTAATTTTACTTATAACTTCCTCATTCCGCAGAAAGCAAGTTCGAGACACATCAAAAGATGCAGAAAAGGACGGAGTAAAAGTACCGACTACATTGGCTGAATATTGTATTAAAACACGATTGCCAAGCAAAGACTCGTCTGTAAACATGGATGACATTGACGAGGATTATAATATTTATGATGATGATTATGACGAAGATGAATCAGATAGTTGTGATGACAACGAGGACTATTGCGATGATGATAGTGGTGCACACGAGGACTCATGATGATTTGAGTTCGACCCTCGGCATTGACGGATCTCCCCCTATTTAGTCCGACGTTCATCATACTTTTTCAATGGCCAAAGCTGTTTCTTTTTGAACGGCAATACGCAGATATCCTCTAAAATGAGCTGAGTTTTTTTTTATTTTTTGTCACGCGGCTAGCACTTGTACTTGGTGATTGAAAATGTGTATCTTTGACATAATGATGCCTTTAAACCACATCAATTATCGAGACTCCATTGGATATGGATTTAAATAAACTAATATTTCCACCTTGTTCTTTGGCCACCTCGTAATGAGAAGGTAGGGGTGGAGAATCTGCTCTGGTCGGATTTTTGGATTCAAAATGAGTTGCGGATAAATATTGATGACAATGAGACCCTATCATATTATATGAACTATCGTTTGGAAGTCGGAATTGATTTGTGAATAATATAGCCTGATTTTTTTGACTTTGATTTGTATTTCATGCAATATGACGAGTTGCACAGTTTTTATGGTAAGTCATGCATGTGTACCAGCTTGAGAGCAAATTTTATAAAGAAGTGGTTATCTGTATAGCGCGTTGCTTTAAAAAGACAAAACTCATTAAATGAAAAATTCAACATTTTTTAATCTGTGAAACTTGAATGTATCAAAGTATTAGGAAAGCTACTCTCAACTCAGCAGAAAATATGGCCGTTGCCAGCAACAATGATTGAATTTTTGGTCTAGCACTGACTCGGGACCAGAATTTTCATGACAGCAATTATTTGGCTGCTTCAAGTGCACATTTGTCTACATTATTACTTGAATTTATTTCTAGCGTTTATTTGATTACATAAAGCCAGTAATATATTCATTATTATTGTCATTTTTTTGAAAGCATTGTTTTCTGTATACAAAGTTTTCTTACTAGACGGGCTTGTCGTTCAGCACATCTCTTTTTTGTTTGTGTAATTGTTATCGCTTTCTTTCTATGTCTTTCTAATATTCTTCTTTGATTGTATCCATTTATGTGTTTCTGACGTTTTTTTGAGTTGGAGTGTGTCAGTCTGGTGAGTTTAATGTGCTATTTACACAGTCCGTATTTTATCGAACAGTGACATACGCGTGTAATATAGAAAGCCTAAGAATTTATAGTTTAACCTTCTATAGTAATCACTTTGGCATGATACCTAACATTTTTCGACTCGTGTTACGCATTTGGGTGTTGTGTTCTTCACCAAATTGTTATTCCTCGATTTTTTCTGATTGACATATTTGTGATAACAAATTTAACTAATACGTATTTGGTTTATGGTGAGTCGGATGTTTAATAATAAGAATCCACAACATCGAACTTAAAATCTCCTTATATCAGTCGTTTTGAGGTTTTATGACATCACAACAGATTTACTTTCTATGGCAAAATTAATCGAAACTGGAATCAAGATAATTACCAGTTAATCGGAATTAATTACGAAAAATTTGAAATTTTCATTTGGTGTTGGTTGAAATCAATGATATTTATAGAAAGTCTGATATTGAGACTTCCACTAATACACTAGTGTTTGGGGGATATTGATACAGTGTATTTGAAAGAATTTGAATAAACCAATTTTTGAACAGTTTTGGATCAGAATTCATGAATGAAAAAAGTTTTCCATCTAACATAGTATAATTTAGTACTAAATCACAAAAATGTCTCAAACCCATGTTATCCCGATAATGATCTGACCTGAACTTTTGCTGCTTGTTGAATGGTCGAGATGTGCAGTTCGGGTGGCATCATCTCATTCGACCACCGAGGGATCACTGTATAGAATATTCATATCCCAGACTGTTGGGCAGAACCTAAAATCAAAGTGTGAATCTAGCAATATTTGGATTAGTCTGTTGTTATGCTCTAACACCTTGACTCACCTATACAATCTGCTCAGTTTTGTCATTGTAATGAATTGCGCATTAAGCTCAATTTAAAATGAGCCATTGTGTTTTTTGTCACTGGTAATTTCTTGATATAAAACCAAGTGCAAAATTGTTACTTTGTCCAAAATGAATTTTATGAACAATCGAACATGTTCTAAGAATGAAAGTTTAATCTATGTATCGCCCATGCATAGACATGCTTGACAAACCCAACTCACTATTGGATACTCAAATCAGATCACCATGACATCTCTCAATGTCTGGGCCTAAAATGGCCTGGCTACTATAAATAGGGCGTTCTGTTTGAAGCGTTCATGAAATGAATACTCATTGTCATTTGGAGTGTCTCCATTGTGTGAATGAATACACACTGACGCTGCGTTCTTAACAATCATTTATAAAGTATTGAAATTACGAAATTTTTTTCAGGATTGTCCTATTTTCATTTTAGCAAGACTCTTATTTGCAAATAAAGGGGACTTCTAAAATTGACTTCACAGACAGCATATTCCGGTAGTCTCCCCATCTTTTCTGATGTGTTTCTCCCTTTGTTTATTCTGACACTCTCCATTTTTGTTATTTGTTCAATCTTTTAAAGATCCTTAGCTTGTGTGCAACTTGCACTCTGGCTTTTGTACAGCTTAAAATGTGTACATATATATGTATTATAGTAGTAATGCTGAATAAGTAAAGAATATCGGTAATACCACATGCAGATTAAAATTTGCTTAAGACGTTCAAATTTCCCGGTCTGAAAACGCTGATATAATCCTTCAACAAACCTATTTGAAATCAAAGTAGTCTTCGTGCTTTTTGCTTCACATTTTTATGTAATATACAAAAAGAACCTATTTTTCATAAAATCATCTACCATTTTCGGACCTCCGTCTTTTAGAGTATGTTATCATGCTTTGTTATTTGCATTACATAAGCAAACTAATTATTTGTGTGAAAAACTAACCCGTACGTTTTTGAAGTTTATTTTTTTCTTTTGATCTGCCTTATTTATTTTCTGACATGTGTGATTGCGCAACATATTGAACTCCTCTGAAATACACTGGACATGGTTAAGTTATGTATTTGTCTGGTGGTAAATGATTTGACTTAATCATTTTTTAGACTGATCCTTAGTTTCTCTACTCTGTTAAGTTGTGTGTTTAAAATCGTTGGTGTAAAATTTTTTTGTATTCCTGTATTCACAATGGCTTATTATTACATCAACAATGCAAACAAGAAATGTTTCAATGATATTACTTGATATGGGTTTGTAGAATTAACTGTAGATATTTCTGGTGGTACAGACATGTTGCTGTTTGGTATTTGAAAAGACCAGTATCAAGATAAGTAAGGTAGCAGCGAAATGAATTTTATTGATAATCTGTAGACACCACTCCACAAACGACCTTTAGACATAATCTAGTAGGTGATCTTGGCTTATTCACACCCTGGCCCTGTATCTATATGTGAAGAGCTATTTTTGAAGGGACAATTATAGTACCTTAGATTCAGCTTCGGCTACCCAATTCCACTCTGGTTGGGATCTCATGCCAACCGTCTCTGAGAGTGCAACCTGCGATGTCAACAACAGTTGAGTCTGTCGCTTTAACCACCTTCCCGCATTTTTTGGCACTTTTACAGCCTCGTTAGATTCATTGTTTAGCATGTATCCAAACTTTTCCTTGGGTATAAAACACGTTTGACAACACCAACGTACTTTTATTGAGACTAAACACCTTCGAATAACGATTTCAAGGCACAATTGTTGCATGAAAGCCTAAACAATTGCAATATTATTTGGAGGTAATAAAAATACAGGACCGACAGCCAAAGACTGCTTGTTTATCACTATATCGAGACAACTAGCAGAAAAAAATTGTACTTTTAGAAATGGCACCTTGTCATTGAGCTTATTATCATTATTAAAACTTGTTTCCAATTGATCAGTGAAGTCTATACCCATTTGAAACACTATTAAATGGAAGCATCACATAACATTTACAACACTCCAAATGCATTGAAACCCTTCTCGAAATAATATTCACAATTATAGTTTAATTTAATCGCTTAGAAATCAGATTGAAACGAATAAAAATCTCACACAACTGTTGGAAGAGTAATGATATCAGGCTGATTCTATTTGAAATAAACATATTGACCAGATAAATATAACGAGTAATAAATAAGTGACAGTCACTCAGAGGAAGTTTGGCATGGTTTAAAAAATAGAAAGTAGTAATGCAACACTATGTTCACAAATGACAGGAAAATTTGATTAACTAAAATTTCATTTAAACACGATGATGTATAAGCATAAAACTGTTCAGCCTTTGAGACATTGATAAAGTATGAAGGTAATTACCTACTATGTTCTAAAACCTAGAAATTTATTAAAGTTCTTATTTTTTCAATGCCTTGTTCAAGTTGCTCTCAATTGCTTCTAGGAAGTCGTTGGTAACAACGTAATGCTCATTGACTTTGACGTTCTTTAGACCATGGATGCAGCCAGCCAAATCCTTTGTCATTGTGCCAGAGTCGACAGTGTCTACGCAAGCTTTTTCCAGAGTTTGCGAGAACTTGATCAGGTCTTGGTTTCCATCCAATTTTCCACGGTGTTCGAGTCCTCTTGTCCAAGCGAAGATGGAAGCAATGGGATTTGTGCTTGTTGGATTTCCTTTTTGATGCTCTCTGTAATGCCTTGTGACAGTTCCATGAGCGGCTTCGGATTCAATGGTTTTTCCATCTGGGCACATCAGAACGCTAGTCATGAGACCGAGGGATCCAAAACCTTGGGCAAGAATATCAGATTGAACATCACCATCATAATTTTTGCAGGCCCATACAAACCCACCAGATGATTTCAAGACTTGTGCGACCATATCATCAATCAGCCTATGCTCATACCAGATTTTCAAATCGTTGAATTGCTTTTCATAATTCTTTTCAAAAATATCCTGGAAGATATCTTTGAACCGGCCATCATACCTCTTCATAATGGTGTTTTTAGTGCTCATGTACAGAGGCCATTTCTTCTGAATTGCGACTTGCATGCAACTATGTGCAAAAGAAGCGATGGAATCATCAGTGTTGTACATGGCCATACCGACGCCTCCATGTTCAGTGAATTCGAAAACCTCCATTTTCACAGGATCTTTTCCTTTCGGAGTGTAAATTATATCAAATTTTCCAGGACCTTCGGCAACAAAATCCGTAGCTCGATACTGATCTCCGAAAGCATGACGACCAATCACAATTGCTTCAGTCCAACCAGGAACAAGACGTGGAACAACTTTGCAAAGAATTGGCTCTCTGAAAACAGTTCCTCCCAGAATGTTACGGATTGTACCATTGGGACTCTTCCACATTTGTTTCAATTTGAATTCTTCTACCCTTTCTTCATCAGGAGTAATGGTTGCACATTTCACTGCGACATTGTGTTTCATTGTAGCAAGAGCAGAATCGATTGTGACTTGATCATCTGTGCTGTCACGATATGGCAGCCCAAGATCGTAATATTCTAACTGAACATTGACGTGAGGCAAAATCAGTTTATCTTTTATCATCTGCCAAATGATTCTTGTCATTTCATCTCCATCCATTTCAACAACTGGTTTGTCGACTTGGATACGTTTGTCCGTTGCATAATTTCTCTGTTGCACTGACTGGGTGCCAAAGATGGAAGCAACATTGACGGATTTCTTTATAGCTTGGATTAGAGTGTTTGATTTCGAAAGAGCCATATTTGTGAAGTGAAGTTTATTCAATTACTTGAAAGGAGACCACAAAATTTTAATCTGTGAATACTAAAATGAAATCATAAATTGAAAGATTAGTCAAGCAAGTGTGTAAAAGTTTTAGAGTGGATTTTGATAGATGTAGAAATAATTCAATTTGAGTGACAAAGCAAGAAATCAGTTGAATATGGGAAAAATTAAAGCACTCAGCAAGGACATTTTGGTTTTTAATAGATTAAAAGTCTAGCCAAAAAATATGTTGAAAAGTTATTATTAACTGTTCTGATTTTATCATTCTCCAAATTGTCAATCAAACCCCTTTTAGATTACATTGTATTATTATTACTAACACCAAATAAGAAGAGCAACAACTTGAATATATGATTTTCAATCAATCACATAACGAGACTGACTTCATATGAGATTCTGGTGTTGCAGGTTACAATGGAAGACAGGAGAAGAGGAGATTGAACCATCGAATATTGCAAAGATATGGAACACAGACAAGCGCAACTTCATGTAGTTGTAGTTGGTTTGGAAACTTACTGACTTAGGTTTGCATGATTTTTAATAAGAGCACCACAGCAATTTGGAATCTCTATGAGAAATAGAATTTAAATTTCATCCAGAAAACTGATAACTTGAGCACTTAGAGCCACAAGTTTGTTCACGCTTTGTTTATTGCATGTGTTTATGACCCAGGGTAACAAACAAAAAAGGACTAAAGTACTATTTATATATGCATTCTATTCACAGTTATTAGTTAGTTAGTCTTGATTGGTCTGATTATATTTACAGATTTGATCGTAGGCAGAGAATTAGGTTCTGATGTATTGAGCCAGCCATCAATTACAACTTATTTTTAGGTTTTACAAACTCGTGGTACTGTGGTATCTATGTTTATTATAAAAATTTGCCATATATCACACAAAACGAACACCATTCACAAAATGCATTTCCTTATTTTCATGATCATAAACAATAATCATTCAAATCTTTTTTGTTTGGGTAAATTTTTTGGTAAAGTTTTATGATGTATGGTTGGGGTCTCCTGTGTTTTCGCACCACAATAATTCTAGTGGGCGTGGCGTAACAATTTTTGCATATAACAATCCTAACCCCTGCCTGAAATATAGGGTATCATTCAACAGTTTTCCTAATTTCCCCTGCAAATTCTTTGTGTTGTTCTGTACCATATATACATTTAACGTTATATCCTTAAGCTTGTAACATGTTGGCGTACGGTACCAGCGGCAGTACCTCCCTATATTTCAACAAATTACCAGGCTATTAGCATCCGCTGAGTAATCAAATTTTAACTAACCTTAATCATAGCCGCTATCGAGCAAATAAGCCGCGCGACGCTGTAAAAACGCAAGGTCAAACAAACAACTGAAAGACACCACGGTCGACGAGGTCACGAAAACGCTGAATACTCGGAACGACGCCAGTGTAGGAAGGCGGTCACGTGGCAAACAGGTGCTTTGGCCTCGGGCCCCACCTCATGGCAAGCGGCGATAAATTCTTCGAAAAGACGATTTTTTCTACAGCGCAGCGTAGTACTTTGCGTACTATTATTTTTATTCTATTACTCTTAGTTTTACGACCATCCATGACATTTAACTTGTTAATAATATCTAGTTGATAAACGTACGGTGGGATAGGATTTACTTATTTATCCTGGAGTAGAGGAAAGACACTAAGATGAGTTTATCACACGGCTTCTAGTCTGTCGGATATGGCATTCGTGGCCCAAAACACGACGACACTTGAAACACATAAAAACAAGTCAACGAGGTGTTGGGAAAACGAGTAGGGTGGGCATAGCCTAAAATACTGTTGAAAACGTACATGAATACGCGCCTTTCCATCTGAAGAAAAAACACTCAAAATGATGGAAACATATAAATACGAATGCTAATCATAAGCAACAGGCTAGGCTGTCCAATGACATTAAACAACATGATAGGCAACTCTGACGTCACTCCATAAGACTACAGGCGAAAGATTGTATCCTATGATACGCTCCAATGCACATATTTCTCGTCGCCTTTCGCGTCCGTTTTCCGCTCGCTTTTGCTACTCGGCGTCTTTTTTACGTGTAGTACCTGCCTTTTTGCGCTTGTAACGAAACAAAATAATCTCTATATCTAAGAAGTTTTGCTCACTTGGAAAGCTGGAATGGCAGGCAAGCTGTAAAGAGCAATTCTGGACATCATAGACGTTTTTTTTATCAGAGAAGATTACAAACGCGATAGCGGAAAGATTTGTGTGGAACATTTTGCAGATAATGACAAAGTTCAAAGTTAGTAATTTTAATGTTTGCGCTTAATCATTGAAATTTCATTTCCATCATTTAAAGAGGGTGTCATACAAAACTGTGTTGTGATACAATTCCATAACACAAAGTTTGCACCTATCGAGCTTGCTTTTGTAGGTGAATTTATTAGACATATTACATATTCAGTTAATCGTAGGTAACATTGCTGGTGCATAATGCATCGTAGATAGGTTTGTTTAAATTTAGGAATTTAGCTCATAGCCCACTAATTAATATTATCTTCTACGCGGGAGGTTGCAGGGCTGAATTCAACTTGCAGCCTTACCGACCACCTGGCGATGCTCATTTAGTTTGGCTCGAGCAAGTCTTCTTGAAATGCTTGTGTGGATGGAAACTACCTATATTTTTTGCCTTCCTTCGATTTTAGACAAATTTATTCTGAGGGATTTCGCATATAATTCTCATTGATTGTTGGCTGTTTATAATTCCTATTGATTGTGAATTCTGATTATAACGAAGAGTTAAAAAATTGTTTATCTAATTTACTGGCACCTTTTTCTTGTCAATACTCCAAGCTGAGGTAATAAACAAGACAATACATTTATGTCATCTGGAAGCAAAATATGCACATTAATTAATAGTTTGGCTGTAATTGAGATAATACATCATGACAGAAAATACAAGTTAAAGATATGTATGACCATCACATAGTAATTAAAATTAAAAAAACTAATAGGGGCTGTGGAGTATGAAAAGTTCAAGACAAAGAAAAGAACAAATGTTCATAGCTCATGAACTCTCAATTTTGCCTCCATTGCTTTGTGAAGGCCAATATATTTCGAGTGGCTGGATTGGTTTACCTTTATGATAGCAACGATTTTGTATTTAATATAGCGAGATTATTTCAATTTAATTGAAGTGATATTATTTCCCAAAGCAATGCTTGAATCGGAATAGATCAGTGGTGTCAAACTTATGGGTTTTCGAGAGCCGCATTGCATTTTGGAAATTGTAAAAAGAGCCGCAAACAGTTTTTGATAATGTATACTTAAAAGATATTTTTAAGATAGTTTTAGTTTGTGACATATATTGTGATGCAACTAAACAGTTGGATTAAGTTTTATTATTCTCTTCAATTTCAAATGCAATTACATATTAATATTTGCATTCCACTATTATTGCAACATTTGTATTTATTATAAAAAATCATAAAATAATATGTACAACCATCGAAATCATTTTTGAACAAGCTTTGAATAAGGAAAGCATAATACATACACTAAAAATAACCTAATCTAAATATATGAACCTAAAATTAACAAAAATACTACAGTATAAACTCAATGTTTTAATAATTATATTTGTCCTGACGTTTGGCATCTTTTTTGGGTCACCAGCATACTAAGGCCAGACTGAAATGATTTTATAGTACCAACTCTAACTGACGAGGCTACATGATCATGGGTTAATCTGGATCTTTGCGAATGTTTAATTAATTCCAGTAATGCAAAAAAGTTACTTTTATCATTTCATGTATAGATAAGTAAAAAAACAAATGACAGATTTTTTCGACAAGACATTTTGCACCACATTGCGTGGCATAGGATTGCTTGAATTATTATTGATTTTTAGTAACTAAGTCGTTGTATAATTATATTAATATACAATTTTGTCATATTGACTGCTGAGCTTATTGTGTTTTTTCATTGTATTGATGGTAATATGACAAATTAAACAATGTGCTTCAGAATTTTGTGAAAAGCAGAAATGTTACAACTCCCATTTTCTTCGAAAATGCCACCTTCTTCATGTACTTTACGTTTAATTTAATCACCCAAGTGTTTTATTCAAGTATTCTTTTGCAAGCTTGATGTGTATTCTAATTGGGTCAAAATGTGGACAAATAAAATTAATATTCCAAAACTACTTTCAGTAAATTGTTTTCTGTGTGAATAATCAATTTCACTTTAGAAGGTTTGAAAAATCTATTACATTAAGATAAAAAAAACTTCCAAAATACTATTACAATTATTGTTAAGCGTTCGAGGGCCGCGCTGGAAGTTCTCTGGGGCCGCGAGTTTGAGATCCCTGGTCTAGATTGAAGTTGTCCAAAAAATATATGATAGTATTTTATCAGGAATGATGACTATACCCCTTCCGGAATTTCTTCTATAGTACTACCAAAAGTTGATGAACCAAATATAACACAGGTGCAGTGAGTTACCCGTAATCCTCATTTTCCAAAGCTGTTTTAAGTATTTCTGGCGTGTTTTGTGCCTTTTTACAAATAAGACCAATTATGCAATTTTACGCTTTAGAATTTTTAGTTATTTTCCTCAAGCCCTGCAGGATGTGGGGGCCATACACAACTCTACCGGAGGAAATGTCTTTGCATGCCTCCATAGGTTGTTTTTCTATTGCAGAGTACTCTAATTATATTTCTTGGAATCACACTGTCACTGATATGTCGCCAGACTTCTGATATATCCCCTTCTGCTATAGTTGTCCTGTGAATAAATAATAGGAAATTGAGATTAGACGAATAGTTGAAAGTTTTGCTTTATGTCGGCTTAATTTCTTGATTGATATACTTACTATTTCTGCTATTGCCTCTTGTGCTGCAGGAGTCTCACAATGCTTAGACAGGTTTGTACACAACTTTCACATCTGAAGAAAGAGAGGAGATTTATTAATTTTCGTTAAGAATAAATAAAGCAGTCTATATGATTTAGAATGGAAAAGCTAAAAAATTCAATATCTCATGTTTTATGTAAAAAATTTTTTACTGAATTTGGTATATAAACCAACTAATAAAAGGGTTTAGTCAGAAAATTACAAGCATTCGTGGCTCCAAATACTTGAGAGTTCAGACCATACAATATAGACCGTTATGAGTGAAATGTTAGGTGAACTTGTTAACACTTTGATTCAATACGCAAATAAAAGTGAATGCGCAATAGTATGTTACAATGAGCAGCAATCAACAATGAGTATATATCCTCACTGATTAAAAAAATCTAACTGGAGGTACATGAACTATTTGAAACCATAAGGGGTAAGTAAATATGACAAAGGCTGGCTTTCCCGCATGTACTTAACAGTGCGATGCCCGGGTGTGATAAACAACAATAGTATTTACCTTACCTTTTTCCGATTTCTTTTTACCTTAACTTTCCAAAATATCATTAAAATCGACAACAATGTCAAAGCAGGCACGAACACCATTCGTGCTACGCCTTGAAAGCAGCACACATCCGCTCGTTTTCGTCTCGTCAAGTATGTGCACTGGAGCGTGCTATCGAATACGATCTTCGGACAAAAATGCCGGAGTTGCGCATCATGTTGTTTAATGTCATTGGGCTGTCCTTGTGATTAGGTGCAATGCAAAACGTACAGGCCCAGTACTGCAGTACTAATCAAAACAAACAAAGTGATCTAAAACTCTATATTTTTGAACATTTCAACTGGGTACTCAAGAAATTACTGGTTTCCGGATCCAAATGTTGCTTTTGGGAGTGCATACTTCTGTCTTTTTCTATTCGGAGAAAATATTGTGTTACCGGAGACCTGGTTGAAGCTGACAACTTCACGTACATCCATTCGAAATATAAACTTTCTAATGTCCAATGGGGAAAAAACAATCGAGTTTCGTCCACACATTTTTTGACGAATAAATCCCAATGCCAAACGGAATTTTCGAGTTGAGATTTTAGTACCGATCACTGTAAATCGAAAACAATTATGACAAAACACAGCAAACCAGAGTACCAGACATGATAGGCAACGTCCATGACTCTTTATATCGCTAGCTCTGCACATCCATACACTAGCTCGCAAATTGTGCTTGACCGACGTATTCACAAAAAACGTCATGACGTTATAGAAAAACAATTTCAAATGTCACGACTATTTCTAGCTATATATAGCCAATCTTTGATAATTCTCCTTGGTATTTCGGCGCTTTGTTCAGCGTCAGAGTTTAATAAACGTTCATTTGTACTATTAGCATCCCTGTATTTGCTAGGCGTACTTCAACTCCTGTCGATGAGCTGTTGGTCTTTTCGCGAGTTCCCTTTTATGCCAAGCGATTAAGACGATTATTAGTTAATTGGATAGATTATTTCCGAAAGATCTGAAACTTTCATTTGGTGTTCCGCGATTCAGAAAAGATTGAAAATCATTGTCTTACAGCAATGTAGATAGTTCGGTTAAATTCCTATTGTTACTGCTGTAACCGTGTCATTGATATTAATCACTCTCTCCACAACCGATGAACCCAATGGATTTCATATTTCAGTACTTAACACGAGGAAGTTGTAAAAAGGCATTACCTTTTTCACCTTCTACCTTATATTTCACCCAAAAACTTTTGTTTTATTTTAACCGGAGTTGGTATACTTTTTCTTTCTTACAACTTGAATGAACCAGGATAACCAGCATTCAACATATTTTACATTCTGCATTTGGTTTAATACCTTTTCAGTAGATGCTATAAACGTGATGCATGTCTATTTATGGGTATAGTAAAGTTACATGTGTAGCAAACCATGATTCGAATATAGATGGTTACAGTGGATTATAATCATATCTGTATGCTTGTAAAGTTCACGCCACTGAATCATTCAAGGAAACTCAATATTGAATGATATACAGCGAGCCATATTCGGTATTCTTGGTTTTCAGTTTTGGGTCTCAGTTTTCGGCATTTTGTATGTAGAAAATCTTAGGTTAGTCGAAGCAATATTTTTACCAGAAGAGTTTTCGTAAGTTGGATTTTTCGTATCCGAAGCCTTTCGTAGGTAGAGTTTGTATATGTATATATATATATATATATATGGCTCCTTACGGGTTAAATTGGAACTATTGCCTCAAATTGTATCACTTATGCACTACACAGGGTTCTAACCAATATTTGATAACTGTTTTGCTCTTATCGGTGAGATATTAATAAGCTATTTGCATCCATGTACGATTCAAATCAGGCTCCATAATACATATTCAAATTGTGTTTAAAGTGTATTAAAAAAATTGAAATGAGGGTCACCTCGTTCTAATAATTTTGCACATATATGCCGGACCAAAATTTGCTTCTAAAAAAGGTAATGTTAGAATTCCCAATTCTGTTTCTTGGAAGTAATGAAAATAATCTTTGAGCAAATTAGTCAAGGGTGTCAGATTTTCAATTTCACATGATATTCCATATGTGTGAAGAAGTTGTTGAATTGTCATTTGCACCACGTATTCATTTTGTTGCAATGAAGCAGTACATGTTGAGTAAACAACAGTTCCTCCTGGTCTGCATGATAAGATAGCACTCCTGAAAATATTGGATTGATTATTTAACAACACCAAATGTTAAATTGAAATTATCTTATGGAATAACAGTGGTCTTCATAAAATGTATCCATACATTTTCATGATTGTGAAAATCACTGAAGATTTTAAGTAAATAAGCCAAATTTATAAATAATGGAAAAAACGGAAAAATATGTATTAAAGTTAATTTAATAAAAACTTACTTTATCTTTCAAATATGTAATAAGGAAAAAAATATCTTGTCTGGGAATTCTGCTCAAATAAAAGCTGACCAAGTCAGCACTATAAACTGACTTCAAAAACTAAGTCATCCCTTACCTTAATATGTCAGACTGAACTTGTGGCAAATTGGCTCTTTCTCTTTTCCTCAATTCAGAAAATATATTGTCCCTGGATTCAACTGATGACAATATAGAATCCCTGTCATTTGTACAAGGAACATCAACTAAGACCTAGAGCAAAACAAAAAAGCATATTGATATTCGAAAATATATATCACAAATATGTTCATTGAAACAGAGAACGAATATAAAACTAACTAACTACATACGACACTTGGTTGGTACATATTACAGTCAACAACATTTCAATACCTGTTTCCGAAATACGGCAACCAATAAATGTGCATAGCTATGAAACCATGTGCTAAATTAAGCAAACACAAATGAGTCAAAATTAAAAGATTTTGGGAAAATAATTTTTTTTTCATATACATCGCTTCCTCTTTCCAAGAGTACAATCAAAGATTAAATAAATTCACAATTGACCTTCATGCTTACTATTTTGAATTTCAAAATTGAACATAGTAACATGACTAACAGTAATAGGCTACCAATTATTATTACCAACTCAAAGTTCAAACAATCCATTTCCTACATCCATAAGTAGAACCACTATCGAATCTAAGCAAGATTTTAGTGTCAAACAAATGAATTCATATTATCACGATGCAATACCAATGCAGAGAACTATATAAATTACACAATATGACTTATACTGCAAAATGTAGAATTCTGAGAATACATGAATAACTTCACCTTGTCATAGGTATTTGGTTCAATCTCTCCCAACTCTGCTGCATCTAAATTTGTTGCTTTCATTCTTTCTCTGATTGAAGCATTTTTTGGAATATATTCATTCTGGACATTTTTCAACCGTTTCACCCTAGAACTGGAGATATCATTGGCAATAATTGAACCTGTTTATTAAACAGTATTCGAAGTGAGTGGAATTAAGATTTTGAACAATTTATAGTACTGTCTTGTTAACATATAGTGCTGTTTTTAGAATTACTTTGAAAATAATAGCTATTTCTCGAAGAATAGGACTATTCGTGAAAAATACAATATAACTTTTCATAAAGTTGGTTTTGAAAATTCGTAATTAAAACAAATAGTTTTTTCGTATTCATCCAGGAAGAGAGAAAATTTGATAAGTCAGCTAAATCATATGGCAAGCTACATACTCTCGCCCTGTTAGCAGTCCAAGATGAATATGAGAAAAGTTAACTAGTCAATTGTTTCATATGCATAAACTAGATGGCGGAGGTAGCAATAACCAACTAGTGGTTAGGTGAACCATTCTACGGAAGCGAGAAGTCCAGGAATTCTGTTCCCCATAATTATATACCACAAGATATGACCGTGCACAAAGGAATCAGAGATGTGATGGCGAACATGTTTCCAATGCTTAGCATGGTGTGTCTTTTGAAGTCATTATTGAACAATAGCGATAATAAATTAAAATAAATTATTGCATTAACTTGATAATATCAATTCATATTAGCAAACTAATAATGCACTAACCTGATCCATCTTTACAAATTTGCATTATACACATTAATTTTCCTCCGGGTGCAGCACATGCATCAAGTATATGCTCATTACTTTGCGGGTCTAATGCCAAAATAGGTAAAATAGACGATCCATCGAGAAGAAAATAATTTAATATAGAGCTACTGCTTTGTCGCTCATATGCATCCACAAATTCGGTCAGGTTTCTTTTCGGATAAGCATACACTTTTAATCCATAACAAACATTTGATAACTTTTGAAACGTTCGTAACTGTTCATTTAGCCACTGCAATTTATCATTTGTTATCAATTGTTCCTCTATAAAACTAGCTCTTTCTTCTGCTGTTTCCGCTTCTGGATGTCTCATTATATCATCCCTCACTTTCTCTCGTTCCTTCACAATATCTTTAGTAATCAGTTCACACATAACTTTTGCTTTATTATGAAGCACTGAAACAATGTCAATTGCTCCACTTTCTTCTAATTCTCTCTCAATTTCGTAACTATATGTATGATTATTAATAACGGCAGCGTATTTTTTTCGTGACATCATAGCACATCGAATCGGAGGCCAATCTTTAACGAATCTTTTCGAATATAATCCATCAAAGAATTCTCTAGCTAATTCATGAGGTTCTGTAGGGCGACGGTATTGATACCATTCAGGTCGACGATGTTTATATCGAATTTGAGCTGATACCGATGAAACATTTTGTCTATTTGTTAACTGGAATAACCTCTTCATGTTCATATGTTTAAAATATACACATAATCTGCAATAGCCAAAAATAACGTAAAACACAAATACGTTAAGATACCGTACGTGTACACTATGAAAGAAAAGGAAAGAAATGCTTTATAGCAGCGATCGGCAACCCACGACGCTTCACGTAATTATGGCAACAAAACAGCTGTTTTGACGATTATATTCTTTACGAAACAGAATTTATTGTGAGACACGTGTATAATAAATTATATTATAATTAACAAGTATAAAATTCACAATTACTCGTTTAATAAGCCTCAAATGGCAACAAAACACAGAAAAGTTGATGCTAGGTGCAAAGGGTTCAATGGAATTTTATGAGTTGCAATGCAATGAGGAAAAAAGTCTACGTATATTCTATTCGAGAGATCACCACTTGATTTTTATAATAAAAAGTATCATCCGTTCGGTTTTCAACTTTATAAAAATATGTGTGCCCCGCCAATGACTTGCAACCATTGAGGTGTATATTGTAACTTTTGATTTTGGCCCGCGCCAGCACCAAGATAAGTATTCTTGATTCTGTGACTACGACCTCTGAACTTCGAACTCATAACTCGCATGTGAAATGTGAATTCGTAACTTATTGCATCTGCGACCTTCAGCATCCTCGGTATATACAATGGCTGTTTTCCCAAGAACCGTTTTGCTTGTTTATATCTGTAATAATGACCAATCAAGAGTAAACAATGACACAATAATGGCAATTTTGCAGCCGCTCAGACAGAGGCTGACGGCTAACTTGCCATGGACCGACCACTCGCCATGCGACGGCGGTTAACGGGTTAGCCTGCAATTGTGCGAAAGCTCTTCTTGTTGTGGAAAATGGAAAGATGGCTGTTTTTTACTTAAAAGAAATCACGTATCAAGTTGTAGGCTGACATTGCTTTCCCCACTTTCGGCCTGAAAGGACGTGTTCGTGTGGGACTTTACAATTTTCCAATCGACGGAGACCTTGGAAAGAGAACAAGACAAGGAAAGTGAACATTTATTACTTTGTGTAGTGGGCGCATACTGGCATAACGCCATCCTACCTCACCTTGTAACATGAGTGATGGTGGGAACGGTATTGCATCATCAAAAAGAAAGTTAATTGAGAATGGGAGTAGCAATGATATTGAACCTTCGAGTAAGATAAAGTCGTCTGTGGTTTCTGACGAAAACCATAAACAGACTGAAAACAATGTTTTAATTAAGGGTACTGCTAAATTCATGTGTAATTATAATCCAATCAAAGTTAATTCATGTCTGATTCCGCTAATTGGAAACTATGACAATGCTAAAATACTATCATCTGGAGATCTATTGGTAGAAGACCTATTTCCGGAACAGATCAAAGCCCTTCTAGAATGCGAAAAACTAGGTTCTGAATTCTGACGAGGTAAACATTCCAATTAAGTCAACAGTCTTTCATAAACGGGACGCTATCGGACGTTGTGCGATCAGTGGGGTGCCTGATAATATATCTGACGAAGAAATTACAGAGGCTCTCAAATCTCATTACGTGATGAATGCAAGACGTTTTCAAATTAAGGGTGAAGCGGGTATGAAACCATCATCTAGTGTGCGCCTTGATTTTAGGACTGCACGTGTTCTTGCTACAATCAACTTATTTTACATGAGATTTAGAACCAGAATCTATAATCCCCCACCTGTGAGGTGTTTTAAATGCCATAGATATGGCCATGTGATTAAAAACTGTATGAGCTTCCAGCGTTGCGTAAGATGCGGGGGTCGCCATAAAGCTGATGTATGTACCAGACAACCAAAATGCTGTAATTGTGGTAACCCCCATAGTGCTGCATATGGTGGGTGCCCAAGGTTTAAAGAGAAAGGCCAGGATTCAAATAGTTTAAATTAAAGACAATATACCATACGATCAAGCTAGAGAAAAAGTACGAAATACTACACATGCATCATTCAGGCTTTCCCCTGAACAGTTTCCTACTTTACCATCAAAAAATGTGGTAAATGAAACTATTCCTGTCCAACAAAATATTTCTAGTGCCAATCGTTTATACAATAACGTCGTTGCAAATCTATCTCCAACACAGAATGTACCGGTACATAGAGCTAAGGATTCAAAAACAAATACTGTACCCATACACCCTGTCCCAAGTGATGCAGAATGTCGGATACACCCTGTCCCAAGTGATGCAGAATGTCGGCATGTACCAGTATATCCCTCACAGAGTGTCAGCAACCAACAATGTGGGCTTCAACCGATATCTATTGATTCATTACAGTTCTTTGGTTTCATAACAAAAGTAATAAATGCCACAATTATAGCCTTATATGCAGGCAAAATTATTGATGTTGCTTCAGTAGTGTCTGAATTTGCCGGGAACCTTTTTGGGTATGGATTTGAATCTAGTGTCCTGAAAGACTAGCTTTATCGAGGTGAGAAAACGCAATGTTCCTCAGAATAATTCAGTGGAATTGTAGAGGAATCTATCGCAAAATTCATGAGTTTAAAAATTATATTGTTTCACTTTCTGATGTACCAGACATAATATTGATTCAGGAAACTCATCTGATCACACGATATGAACCTCGTCTCCATGGATACACATGCTTCCGAAAAGATAGAACTGTACATGGTGGTTGTATTTGTGCTTTTGTTTCAAATTCACTCAACTTTTCTGAGGTTAACCTACAACCCCCTGATAACGTAGAGGTACAGTGCATTATGATAAATGGGTACAAAATTGTTAACTTCTACATGGCCCCTGATCGAGTTATATGTGAAAACGATATCACACGATTTTTTGACACTTTCCAATACAGGCTATTATATTATACAGGCTCTTTCTATTCCAGGCTATTATATGCGGTGATTTTAATTCCCATCATCTCATGTAGAACTCAAGAAACTCTGATATTAGAGGAAGAATGATTTATAATATCATCGATCGTTTTAATCTTGTCGTGCTTAACACGAACACGCCGACCAGAATCAATATATCACGTAATGGCCAGACCACGAGATGGTCCCTTCTTGACTTCACTTTAGCATCCAACGGTATAGCACACAAATGTACTTGTGAAGTGACTGAACAACTTCTTGGAAGTGATCATTTTCTCATAAATACATGCATTGAAGATGCATTTACAAAATCTAGTACACATATTCCATCGTTGTCCTTTAAAAATGCAAATTAGGATAAATTTAAGAAGCTGAGCAATTAACTTTTATTAGCCAGTGCACTTCCTGCCGATACTGATCAGGCAAATGAGTTTTTCACAAAATGTATCATCAAAGCCGCCCAGTCATCGATCCACACAACTAAACCCATGAATAAAATTGGGGTACCCTGGTGGACACAAGAATGTGCAAAGGCTATAAGACTAAGGAAAATTGCATATAATAAAATGAAAAGAAACATTTCTCCACAAAATATTATCATTTTTAAAAAACGACTAGTAGAAGCTAGAAGAACTATCCTGGAAGCAAAAAAAGCAAGCATGGCACAGTTTTTGCATTTCACTTGACCATAGTGTTAAATTAAACACTGTTTCTGGAGTTATAAACTCCTTTTCGGGTATTTCAAAATACCGAAAGATACCAGCTCTAATATCGGATGATAGGACCATCTGAGATAGCTTAGGAAAGGCGAATGTCCTTGCATCAAGATTTGCCAATGTTAGCAGCTCAAACAACTATAACCCTGATTTTCTCGCTATTAAAGACACGTTTGAAATACACAATGCATCCATAACAAATACAACTGAAGTCCTGGGAGAACATCCTCCTAATGTACCATTCACAATACAAGAACTTAAACACATTCTTAGTCCTCGCAAAAATACATCTCCATGATGTGATATAATATGCCATCAGATGATTCGTCATCTGTCTACAGAATGCCTGAATATTTTACTGCAACTTTTTAATTCAATATGGCTTTCTGGTCGTGTCCCCACCCCCTGGAAACATTCAGTTGTTATTCCAATATTGAAGCCCAACAAACCAAGTCATGATCCAGCGTCATATAGACCGATTGCTCTCACGAGCAATCTTTGTAAACTTATGGAGAGATGGATTAATTATAGAATTAAATGGTTCCTCGAAACAAATAATTTATTGAATTCAAGTCAAAGTGAATTTAGAAGAAACAGATCGACCACGGATAAAATTCTCGCTCTACATGATGAAGTATACAAACCCTTGGAAATGAGCGTTCTGTGATTGCAGTCTTTTTAGATATTCAAAAGGCTTATGACATGATGTGGAGAGAGGGTCTGTTATATAAAGTATTCAAAATTGGAGCACGTGGCAGAATTCATCAATGGATTAGATCATTTCTCACAACACGCTCATTTCAAGTCAGAGTAGATTCTTCAATGTTGGCTACAAATTTCCTACAAAACGGTATTCCTCAAGGCAGTGTTCTCAGCCCAATTCCGTTTTCCGTTATGATCAATGACTTACCACAAAATGTCCCTTCATTGGTGAAACTTTTTGCTGATGTTGGAGCTTTCTGGGAGACCGGATTGCATATCCCGGAAATAGTACTAAAAGTTCGAGCTTCTTTTCAATGCCATAATAACCTGGTGTGATAGGTGGGAGGATAAACTTTCCACCACAAAATCCTGTATTATGCTTTTCACCGAGCGCAAAAAAATCTCTACAATCCAACTTAGAATCAAGGACTCAGTAATACCTGTCACAGCCAAATTTAAATATTTGGGCGTTGTGCTTGATTCAAGACTCAATTACATAAGACATGTCGAGTACATACATGAGAAATGTCTAAAAGAATTAATATATTGCGATTACTCAGTGGTACAACCTGGGGATGTGCAAAGGCACCTCTTCTATCACTATATAGGGCACTCATTCGATCAATATTGATGTATGGCATTGAAGCCTAACATCTTACTTCACCGTGAATTTTACAGAAGTTGCAAAAAATACCTGTCTACGTATTTGCTGTGGCGCTATGAAGAACACTCCAATAATATCACTACAAGAGGCCTGTCACAAAATGCCGCTCCATATACAACATCTTAACTGCTGCCTTGCATACAAATGCCTGCTCTTTTCTCACAAGAATAATCCTAATGAATCACTCATTAAGCAGTCTTGGCATGA